CCTGCGGGGAGGGACTGAGACTGATCCGCTTCGGCTTCACGTAATGGGTCTGTTTTTTTTCTTTTTGGGTGTGTTGATGTGCTGGTGTGGGTGAATGTTTTTCTCTGATGGGAGTGTCACCTGTGTTTATTGTATTGTGAGTGCTTTGTGTGCTGTTGGTATCCTGTTGTTGTTTTCTTGTGTTTTCTCTTCCTCTCTGTAGGTGTGTGACCTAGTGTACATTTTAGTGAATGCCGCAGTGCCTCTCTGATATGAGCATGTGAGACTGTCATTGTGTGTGTGTGCACTGTGAGTGGGAAGGACACCGTTGTGTTGCTGGACCACTTCACTGCGGTGTCTGTGGGGTTTGTGTGTGCGCGGCATGCTTCGCTTCGGCGGGGCTCGGGGGGCACTTTACGTCCCGAGGTGCTGAACCTTGAGGCCTGAAATATCATGCTCAGGGACTTTGAACTTGAGAGAAAAAGAAGAGTGAGGATGAGGAAAAAAAAAGAAATGCAACCCGGCAACCAGTCTACGCGCGCAATGCTCGAGGCTCGTTGTCGGGTTTTGCCCTTTTCTTTTTTTTTTTATCCCTCACCCAAAGAAGGGTGAGGAGAGAGAACACACATCCCCTACAACCCAAGGCGGGCGGCCAACTTGTCACAGCGTCTTGTGCGCAACAAGAAAAAGAGGGGTGATGGGGTGGCTCCCGGGGGTGTTTCACTTGTAAAATGAGGGGGTTTGGGCATAGTGGAAAACTCTTTGCTTTCCCTACTTCAACGCTGGGTAAGATGGGTTTGAAAGGTATTCCGCAAAAGATGACCCTTCCCCGTTCCCCTCATGACATGGTGCCGCGTGCCACCGAGTAAAAAAAGGTGCTGTTGGATGGCCCACGCCATGAACAAAAAGAACAAAGGGAAGGATTCACCAAACCCTCATGATAAAGGCAAATTCCGCTATGGTGATATGTTAAAGCGTTCCCCTACCGCCATGTGTGGTGTGAAAAGGAAATCCATGGGAAGTGCAAAAAGAACATTTTCCCCCATAAGAACACATTACCCCATAAGAACACTTTCCACCCATAGGTATTTTTGGTTTATTGGCACCCCCACCGCCTGCCCCACCACAACGATGTGTGAGGTATGTTTGGCTTTTCCTGAGGGGATGGAAGTGCGTAAGCTGTGCGCCGCGATTGGACAGCCCTCATTGCCAAAGGCGAGCCGTGATTCACTTCAGAGGTCCGCGGC